ACACACACACACACACACACACACACACACACACACACACACACACACACACACACACACACACACACACAAAACACACGCACACATGCACGCACACACACAGACACACAGACACACACAGAATCTAAAGAAACAGGATCGGCCGGGGCTGAACCTGAAAGTTTTCTCACAGTTTGCCAGCTGAGAATGCACATGATTGACAGGCCATCTATCCTATGACGAAGCTGTCAAGTTGCACAATGACCCTATGGCGCAAAAATCAGAGAAGGTCACAATTGGCCAATTATGAACCACAATGACAGCCCTGTATATAGCCGTTAGCAGAGTAATACACTCAAGTCAGCCCACGTTCTTAGTTCCTTTCCACACCTGCAAAAGGAGCCAAAAAAGGGAAGATCAGATTGTACATAGCACTATATACTCTCCTGCTCCTCCTCCGGGAAGATCAGATTGTGCATAGCACTATATACTCTCCTGCTCCTCCTCCCCATTATCGCTTGGAAACTTTTATCCATTCGAGACTTGTGATCAAATAGTTCTCAAGGGTGGTGAGATCCCTATTGAGTCTGGTCTTCTTTCCACTTCCCTCAGTAACCTTACCTCAAACCAGTCCCTTCTCAAAACGTTCCTATTGAGTCTGGTCTTCTTTCCACTTCCCTCAGTAACCTTACCTCAAACCAGTCCCTTCTCAAAACGTCATCACCTTCTATGGCCACCCTGGTTACCATTAGGAATGCCCTCTTCTTTCTTTTTCAGTTGATTCTTTAGAGGACGACCTGAAGGCCTTGTTGTTGTTGTTTTTTCCTGCCTTCACAGGTGGCAGGATACTCGGTGACATAGTGGTTGAGATACCTGACCGGCAGCATTGATTTACTTCCCTTAGGAAGGATGTACCTCCCCTCACCCCTGCTTAATCTAGCCTTCCAATTCCTCTCTCCTGCTTGCCCGCCCATTCTCTGTGTCTGGGACGGAGTTTGGCCCCGGATCCCCATAATGGAGGGAAGTGTCAGATTGTGTTCATAACTTCATGTTGTAATTTTCCCTGACTTGCCGGTGGAATAGGAACCCGACTGATGCTCCCCAGAATGAATATGGAGCCAGAACCACATTTCTCTGTTTGTTTGTTTGTTTTTGGTATGAAAAAAAAATCGCATATCGGTGGCTTCACTCCCCAGCTGACAAGACTGAAGGCCTGGAATTAGTCTAACCTCTCTTCTTCTGTTTGAAGTGCGGGGTCAAGGCTGGGGTTGAGCAAGTTTTGTTCTTCCCTCTCTTCTTAAAGCTCCTCTTTTTCTTTTTTTCTTTTTTTTGGACCATTTTTCATTAATGCATGTCATTCTTGCACAGGGGCCATGCTAATCTTCTCTGTATGGTTCCAGTTTTAACAGATGTCTCAAAGGACCTCTTCTTGAAGCTCCTTTTTTTTCCCCAACAAAACCAGTGGCCACTGCTTGGCAGGGTCATAAGAGCAGAGCCCCTTCTAGCAGCGCCCCCGGTTGCTCCGTCTATTGGTGGGGAGCAGCACCTGCTGGAAAACGGGTCCAGCGTCCCTCTGACAACAAGTGTAACATATAACCATCTGACCAACCTCCATTCCCGCCAGCATTGATTGCCCCGGATACTGCCAGGGAAGCGAAGCCACTTCACCCCGAATTCGAGTGCCAGAAAACCATGCCTTCCTCCTAGCAACCTCTAGCAGCACTGGTTAGTCCTATGATTCCTATCACATCCCCCCATACCATTGTGGTTTTACCATCGAGAGTGCGTGAGGGAGGAACAGGTCTGGAAAATCTGAGGGAGGGGGGGGGGGGGGGAAGGGGACAGATCGATCTATCTTAGTCCAATTATGAAAAACCAGCTTGTCGTCCCACAGCAGCCGTGACGGTCCCCCTTCCTTCCCCCCATCCCATACCACCTCGTCTTGACGCTCTACTAAGTATAATAAACAATTTATCCTGCTGGGAATCTCCCAAACCACCCTAACATTTTTGTATACGTCAGTGTTTGAAGTTTGAACTCATGATCTGTTTATCAACGGGTATATGCGTGCGTACCAATCAGCCACAAGCCCCGGAGTGTTTCCCAGTCCACCCTTAGAGGTGGTGACCACTGTTTTGCCTATGTATGATTTCTTTGATCTCTGAATACTGCTCCTCCTCCGATGCCAACGTAGCATTCTTTCCTGTTCACTTCTTCCAGTACTGCGATCATAAGTTAAAAATAAAAAGAAAGAAATGACATTTTTTGAATTTTTTCCCTCTTCACTTCCTCTGGATCCAAGATCACTTTCAAAAAAAAAAAAAAAAAAAGACCTCATCTCCCCAAAGGCTTGATCTCAGCATCCTCATCACCTTTCTGCCTGCTTACGTTGCAAGCTGCACTGTGCTTAATGCCTGACCAAGAATGTGGAGTCCCTTGTATAGATCATTTAGTCTCTACCTCCTTGGCGGTTTAAATCCCTTTAAATCCCTTAGGGGCAAGACCTGCTGAACGAAGCGACTATACTAGTACATAGTTCAGGAATCAGGTCTAAATCCCTTAGGGACAAGACCTGCTGAAGGAAGCGACTATACTACTACGTAGTTCAGGAATCAGGTCTAAATCCCTTAGGGACAAGACCTAAGGCCTACAATGAGTCCAGCTCCTATTCTACTGTAGTTGTTTATCTTCATATTTTTCATCTCCCTAAAAGGGACAAGAGAGACTATACTAGTATATAGTTCAGGACACGTTTAAATCCCTTAGGGACAAGACCTAAGGCCTACGATTAGTCCAGCCCCTATTCTGCTGTTAGGAAGCGACTATACAAGTATATTTCATTTACTTGCCTTTTCCTCCTTTTGTGTCCTATTTTTCTCAGTTCTTGAGACGACCTCGACTCCATGCGCTATTTGTAGATTCTCCTCCAACGTGGAATTTCCAACTATTCTGTTTGGGGATGCTGGGTGCCTGTGTGATGTAAGTAGTCCTTACACTCAGGTTGCGAACGTCTCTGAAACTTACTCATTTTTACTCTACCTCATTTTTACTCTATCTTAATCATGCAGACAATCAAGGCTAATTGGTCCATGACCATCTCCATAATCCCACAATATAGTTGTTCAGGAGATGGGGTACCTCTTGACGGTATCATGTTTACGGGGCTTGAACTCTTGATTGGTCATCTGATCCCCGCGATACCTGGGTGCGTGAGTGCTTCTTGGCTGACGCGATGAGCTACTAGGTTTCAAGGTTTATGTGTTCAGGAACACACCAGTAGAGGTAGAGTTTTGGGGTCTTACTTTCATTTTCCGGGTTAGGGTTCGAGGGTCAGGGATTGAGATTTACGGGGCTGTACCTCACTCAGGCTTTGTGGTTTCCCTATTAGCCTTTATTGTTGGGCGTTAGGGGATCAAGGCTTTAGAATTTATGGATTTAATTTAGGGTTTATTTGGGTTGAGTGTTTAGGGTTTAGGGCTTAAGGATTAGGGCTCAGTGTTTCGAGATCAGGGATTGAAAGCTCACAGATTATGGTTTAGGGTTTAGGGCTTAGGGTTTAGGGTTTAAGGTTTAGGGTTTAGCACTTTGTAATTTGCAGTAAGCGGTTACCGATTAGCGGTTAGAGATCAGAGTTTAGAGATTATGGCGAACGGATTAGGTGTCAGGATACATGGACAGCACTTGACATTCCAGCAAAGAACGGATTCCGTACAGCTACCGTCAGGCACAGCTAAGATTCTGCCGAGCTAAGCCCTGCAATGACGGCAGCAGACTATACTCGTGGAAGAGGAAGAGAGGGAGTCGTTCACATCAAATTCTTCATTAAAAAAAAAAAAAAAAGAAATAAACTCAAGTAACCATGTGTGGTTCCATGTGGTGGGAGAGTTTAGTATTGTGAATGCACCACGAATAATCGTCAATAATATGCTGTTAGCAGCTCGGCCGGGTCCTAGACCTCAACCATCATGGACGTGGTCCAACATCTCATTTCGGGAAAACATAGGCACGCATGTACCTGGTCCAAAGGCGGTGCATGTTCATGCTGTTATTGTGGCACCAATGACAGCCCAATGGAACGAGGATTCACCATCAAGTTGTGACGATTGCCATCCTGCGAACTTAAGCATTCTGACTATATATATATATATATATATATATGGTTTAAAGGCTGACCATCAGAAACCTCCTGCTCTAGTTAGCGACGTACTGAACAGCGAATACCAATCTATACCAATCTGCCGGCTCCTATCACGTGGCCAGGACTCTATGCCAGCCGGCCTCGGCATCATCACCATAACCATCAAAACGGTCATGGCCACCGAGATCGCTGTAACCCTAGATACTGTCATATTAATCCAACAAAGCCATAGGCAATGTCATCGTCGTGACCAGCTACCCTCTTTTCCATTGCTTGCCACACTCCTCGCCATAGCCGTCAGCATCTTATCCACCATTGACGTCACCAGGGCCATTACCTCGGTCATAGTCATCGTCAACAGCGCCTTGGCCATGGTCATCGGTCATCGGCATCTTCAATGCCATTTCTCCATCACCGTAGTCGTGACCACCGCCATATTTATCACCATGCCAGCAACCATCGCGATAGCCTAGCCACATCGCGATCGTTGTCTACATCTCCATCGTCAAAGCCACTAACATGCCACATCCGTCAGCATCCTCACAGCCAATCCCATTGTCATCACCGTCATCACCACCATCGTTAACACCATCTCGATAGCTTACCGACGTCGCCATAGCCCTCCGCATCTCCATTGTCATTTAGCAATCAACACTGGGTAAAATATCAACATATATCAATAGCCACACCGTCAGCATCTTCACAGCCTTGGCTACGGTCATCAGCATCTCCAATGCCATTCCCCATCACCATAGTCGTGACCGCCGCTAGAGCTATCACCATGCCAGCAACCATGGCGATACCCTAGCACACATCGCGATAGCTGTCGGCATCTCCATCGTCAGAGCCATTAACATGTATCCATGGCCATATCTGTCAGCATCCTCCCAGCCATTCCCATCGTCATCGCCATCATCACCGCCATCGTTATCACCATGCAAGCAACCATCATGATAGCTTAGCGACGTCGCCATAGTCGTCCGCATCTCCATTGTCATTTAGCCATCAACACTGGCTTCCCTCTCCTTTTTCTTTTTTCTTTTTTTTTTCTTTTTTTAAATCAACACTGGCTTACATATCAACGATTCAAAATACGTATATCAATCGCCACACCGTCGGCATCTTCAAAGCCATTCCGATCGCGATATTCGTCACGCCATACGAAGAAAAAAAAAAAGAAAAAAAAAAGGGGTAAAACAGACAAGCATTCAAACCAAATGACCATCGCGATAGCTTAACAATGTCGCCATAGTCGTCCGCATCACTCTCGTCATGACCATGACCCTCGACAGACATAGCCATCAGCCTCTTCACAGCCATTCCCATCGTCATCACCATGACCAAGCCATAGCTATCGCCATGCCAACAACCATCACGATAGCTTAGCGGCCTCGCCATAGCTAATAACCTCCATCGCCATAGCCATGACCCTCGCTGTACACACTACCGTCTTCCCCCGAACATAACGCACCCTGAACATGAAAGTATACAAGCTATATTTCCGGCCAGATACAGCCAAAATGAGGCTGCGTTGTGTTCGGGGGAGGACGGTAGCACCGCCCTAGCCAAGGCATAGCTGCGCGATGATGAATTAGCCGTAGTGTTTCCTGGTTAGCTCTGAGGACTCCCACCTCTTACATCACCAAAGAGCCACCACGATACATGGCTGCTACAGGATACCAACCACCCTCTCCATTCCATGTTTGTGCATGTCTCGATGGCATAGCATGTCGCCATCTCTCTCCTCTGTGCTGCTCATTCCGCCAGGCTCGCTGACTCCGCTCCCATACACACACTACAAAAGGATTTCGGCGGTTTCTATCTCCAGACTTACACTCTCTCTCTCTCTATGTAATCCCTCATCATTTCATTTCCCATTCAATCTCAAACTAATGTGGTCTGGTTGCACCACTCGCCAAATGCTGCCATTATGAACGTATCAGGACACAACTCCGCGCTCAGATTCATTCACAATGTTTGCGTTTGGCGAGTGATGCGGCGAGTCCCTACCTCTTTCACACACATTCTGCTGGAGTCATGTTAGCTCCAAAGCAGCCTCGCCTCCCTGAAAGTCGCGGCTCGCGGACACACCACGTGCCGCTGGCGTGCTATGAGAGAGCTGATCTGGTCGCTCCGCGCCCCCCCCCCCTCCTCCCCCCTATATTCTCGTCTAAGGAGCTGACGACCTATCATTCTCCCTCGGATAGAAACTCAACCACATAATGTCTTATCCTACTGTATTGAACGCAAGTTTCAGGACAGATGCAGGAAAAACTGGAGAGGCAGTAATTACAATGTTACCGAGAGATTCCGCTCCTACTGACGAGTCCCCCCGATGATACCAGGTTGATCCAGTTGCCTTGTAATTGCGGAGTTGACCTTTTAGCACTGTTTGGTCCTTACAATCAATAGTCGAGATTCCACTTGCACGGATAACGAGATCCTGACCACAGATTCCACTACCATAGCAGAACGCCGACCTTCGGTCTGAACCAAAGGTCAGTACTTCGCTATCGCAGTGCAGTGCAATCTCGGCCAATAACTCCGTCTACTCACCGCATGTGCAGGTGATAGCAGAACACCGACCTTCGGTCTGAACCAAAGGTCAGTATTCTACAGATTGGTGTAAAGTATGGTTAAAATGACCCTTTGGTTTTCTTATAAATGAGGGTGAAAATTGGGGGGTCGGTTAACCTTCTCTCCACAAATGTGGTGCAATCTCGGCCAATAACTCCGTTTACTCACCGCATGTGCAGGTGATTCTTAAACTCTCCTCCCTCTACCTGTTGTGTGGCCGTTTTCTGGCCTCTCTACATTGCTCATTTGGCCCCGCCATCATGGTTCCAACAACACATACACTTGCACTCATCCCACAGGTGTTTTCTCCTGCTTGAGGAAGCAATGATATGTCTCACACACGAATCAACACACGTGTACAGTGCAGTGCAAGAGATGGTTAATGGAAGGCCCAAATTTCCGGGGTTTTTTTTTTGGCCGCATCACCACAAGCAATGTCGTCGAAAATTTCGCGAACAAACAATGCAGGCTCATAATACAAAGTTACAAACATAAAAAAAAAAACAGGCCAAAAAAAACGAAAAAAAAAGAAAAAAGCACTATAAAACCCTAGTCGGAGTAGCTCTCGGATTTCTCCGAATTCGGTGTTTTGCCAACTTTTTCTTTTACTGGTCCAAATACGTTGAAACTGAATACAAATACAAATATACCCTGAAGCACATACATATCACCAAAAAAAAGAAAAAGAAAAAAAAAAGCAAAAATTCAGGGAAATATGCCAGTTTCGGTGAAAAATTCGCTGAGAATGACACCACTTGTTAACCATTAGTGACGACATCGTTCTGTACGACTGCAAGCATGGGACAGAGCAGTGTGATGATCAGATGATCAGATGATGATGATGATGATGATGTGTTGTGCGTGTGTTTAATACTGATTATTTCCTGCACTTTTCGACGTTCTGCATTCTGTTTTTATTTGAGGCTAATTCGACCGACCAAACTCAATCTTCTGTTTGACAGCACGGGACCTTCTGGCCTTATTATTATTATTGTACTCTTACAGGGGATCCTGTAGCAGCCATATCCTCTCAATGAGAGCATTTAAGACTCCACACACTAGTTTTGATAAAGGGTTTATTACGATATATAAGGGTTTTCCTTTTTTTCCCCTTTGCGAATATGGGTGGCGCAAGTTGGAGGAAGGTAAAGCATTGCAATGGTCCTAACAGATGTTGATATCATGTGATATCTGCCCAGTGTTCTCAATGTCAAACTGAAGAGATTCAACGAACCGGGATAAACGACCATAGTAAATATGACTTGTTTCTGTGACACGCGTCTTTCATTTTCAGACGTGCAAGATCATCACTCTTAGTATGTGAGTGAGAGAGAGAGAGAGAAAGAGAGAGAAAGAGAGAGAGAGAGAGAGAGAGAGAGAGAGAGAGAGAGAGAGAGAGAGAGAGAGAGAGAGAGAGAGAG